AAACGAGACAATAGACAATGATCAAGAACAATATCATAAAGCACCTATGAATGCCGAACGCAATAAATGAATAACGTATGCATGTGCGTATAATTTGTGTAATTGGTACATTGTTGTCGTGGTGCTATTTACGCACAATGTTAATTACGCTACATGTTTGCAAGCGTGTGGTCTATATTAAAAGAATAAAGATAATAATAATAATAATAATAATAATAATAATAATAATAATAATAATAATAATAATAATAATAATAATAATAGTGTAGTTTTTTATAGCGCACATATCCATCTAATGTAAGATGCTCATGGCGCTTGATATGTGGACTAGGATAACATCAATTCCACATTATATAATAATAACACTGCAACTTGATCCGGCCGCACACTGAGTCACTCTTTCTTTCATTCTTATTCAGCAGTAAAGTGATGACGGTAAAAATATGAATAGTAAATATGTATGCTACGCATTGGTAATACGATATTGTAACAAAATGGTGCAGTCCACCCCCCTATTATAAATAGATTAGGCCACTCCCTAATGCTGGGAGCCGATTGGCTATCTAAAAATAGCTGGGTTGGGATCTTGTTTGTTTGTTTGTTTGTTTATTAATATTTCTCCACATATACATAAATTAGAAGTATAATTCATATGGAAAAAAAGTATGTGGATGGTGGTCAAAATAAGTTTGAAAACAAACTTTACGATATGACCACCATTAAAAATAATTAATAAATCATTATTAATACGATGACAGAAATAAAAAAATAAATAAATAAATAAATAAATAATATGCAAAATTAAAAATTAAGTTTTAAGTATTAAGACCCATCGCCCAAGACATGTAGTAGTTGAGCTCTGGATCTCATGAAGTTTAGAACTGGGAAATTAAGTCAGTCATTAAGACTTGAGAGGCCAGTAAGGGACAGGCCTACTTATAGTTTAATTCCGGTGTTAACGGGAACCGATCGGCGGCTGCTGTGTGCTCCGCATATATGACATTGTATTTGTTGTTGATAATGGTACCAGTTTTATTGATCCAATAAATGCTATGAGAAACTCGGTTAATTTTGTTTGAAGTTTATTCAATAGTCGATCCGTATTATCTGACGGCGTGTCCGACAGACTAATACTTACGCAGGACTTAGACTAGACTGAGACTGCTTGGCCGAAACCGCCACAATATGATAAAAGAAAAAAAAATTACGAATCCTGAAAATTCGAAATACTATGTAGTAAAGATAGAATTATCTTTAAAAGTTAGGAATGTAAAAACCATTACCGGTATTGGACCTAGACTAGGCATTGTACATGTATATTCACTTCCCTTGAACTTCTACTATAAAATGAATAGGCCTATACAGTGGCGGATCCAGGAATTTGAAATAGAGGAGATTCAGGGAGGGACTTTAACAGATGGAGGGTCTATACTACCGGAGCCCCACCACTGATCTCTACTGTAATAGCTGGATTGCTCATTGGCTGGTTTAGCGAGGCAACCGACGCCATGATGGGGGCCTAAGTGACGTATCATTTTAGACAAGTTTCTTTTGGCATTTGTTTAAATTACGATTCTTGCAAAACTTTTTAATAATAAATTTGAATTTAAAGTAATGATTATTATCATCTATCTATTGGTTTGACTTTTTATGCAGTTTAAGAAAGCACAAGCGAAGTTATTTGCGTTGTTAGGAATCGACGTTACTATAACAACGCGACTTCGCTCGCGCTTTTGAAAACTGCATAAACAGTCGCGTGGTAAGATGGTTTGAAAAAAAATCCTACGTTAAATTTAAATTTATTATTGAAAAGTATTGCAAGAATCGTTATTTTTAACTATAATTTAAACAAATGCCAAAAGAAACTTTTCTAAACTGGTACGTTATGTAGGCCCTCCAACATGGCGTCGGAGGCCTCACTTTTTTTCTGTACCAGGGGCGGGTTGCTATTAACGGTCTTAAAGCCCCATTCCTGGCAAAATTTCAGTTTTTAAGAAAAATCTAATTTTTGTATAATGTTATAAAGATTTATAAATATAATACGGAATTGATAGTTTAACTGAATTTAGACATTCCTAAAGGCCAACTCAGACAGCGTCGGCCGACGCAGCCCGACCCGATTTATCGTCGGGGACAGTCTTAAGCCGTCGTGAGAAATATTAAACACGTTTAATATTCTACTACGCGACTGCCCCCCCCGCACACCATCGCGCTGTCCCCGGCGATTTTTTTTTCCGTACGAAACATTTACATGAAACCCCACTCGGGCCGTCTCGGCTGAATCGACCCGAAAATCTCATTGCAGAATTCAGGAGGTCAAAAGGTCATCAACAGATAAACGTCTACAAAGCAACTTCTGAGAGAACGTCGCTGTCTAATTTTTAAAAATACATTGATGTTACTATGTTAATACCAATGGGTCGTTTAAACGACATATAATATTTGATTAGCTGCACGAGTAATGAAAAGTGTTATTTTAACTTGAGTTACATACTATGACAATTTTAATTTTTTAGTTATGCCTTGGTTTTGCATAATTACCTAGGCCTACTAAGACCCTTTCTGGGAAAAGCACAAAGAGAAAGAAAAGCGCGTTTTTCTTTATCAAATGAAACAGGGTGACAGTTATTTTTAAATTAAGAGAAGAGCTGAGAATAGGCAGCTCTAAAATACTGGATGCCATAAGACCTGCCAAAATGGCATAGCACCAAATGAATGTAAAAATGAGCTAGATATTATTACTAGGCATAGTAATCGGCAGGTTTTTGATTACAAGGCTAGACCAAGTTAATTACATGTAATGCCGAAATGATTATTATTATTATTATTAATTATTATTATTATTACCTGTACCTTAAGGGGAACTTAGACAATGGAGGAATTAGAGAACAATTAAAAAAACGACGTTAAGGGGAAATAACACAAAACATATTCCCCTTGGGCGATTATAATTATTTATAGGCCTAGTAAATAGTACGGTATATATCTGTAGGTTCTTCATTACAAGGCTTAGGCCAAGGTAATTAATGCTGAAATTATTATTATTATTATTATTACTATTATTATTATTTAACATTAATTACATTACAATGATAGTTTGGACAAGTTCAATAACGCGGGAATGGTATATTATTTATTTAATAATATTTCTCTATGCGCTCTATTTTTTATTTCATGCTTCAAGTTTGTCCTATTTTTCCCAAAAAAATTTCAGTCAATGTCAGTATGTTGGTGTCAGCCTATGACCCTAGGCCTAGTTTAAGGAGGGGCCTAGGTAAGATCTGAGCCTGTTAGGCCTCTTTCTCTCTAGCCTTTGGTATTACTGTACCTACTACACTTTATAACAGGAGGTACTAGCTGTTGTTGTTGTAGATAATATACTAACGTTTAATAACATCCAAGAAGGTCACAGTTAGCTACACACGTATCCCATAAGTCCGTGAGATTTCATAGGCCTACCGTAGGTAAACATAGAAAGAGCAATACAGTAATAGTAAAACTCGAGCGTCACGATATTGCAAAGTGCCTGATCTTGTTCATCGTATCGTACTCATTCGAGTCAATCCGAGATGGCCCGAGTGAAGTTTCATGCAAATGTTTCGTACGGAAAAAAAAATCGCAGCCGGCTAGCGATTTTTTCCCCGTAAGAAACATTTACATGAAACTCCACTCGGGCCGTCTCGCCTGAATCGACCCGAAGATCGCCTATTGCAGAATTCTGGAGGTCAAAAGGTCATCAACAGATGAACGTCTACAAAACAACTTCTGAGAGAACGTCACTGTCTAATTTTTTAAAATACATTGATGTTACCATGCTAATACTAATGGGTCGTTTAAAATGACATACAATATTTGATTGAGCTGCACGAGTAATGAAAAGTGTTATTTTAACTTGAGTTACATACTGTGACAATTTTTATTTTTTTAGTTTGGTCTAGGTTTTGCATAATTACCTAAGCCTACTAACTAATAAAAATATACGCTTTTTGGGAAAGCACAGAGAGTAAGGAAAAGCTCGTTTCTCGGGGCGTTTCTTCATCAAATGAAACAGGGCGATACAGTTATTTTCAAATAAAGACAAAAGTTGAAAATAGGCAGCTCTAAAATACTGAATTCCATAAGACCTGCCAAAATGACAGAGCACCAATGAAATGTATAAATGAGGCCTAAGACTAGTTATTAATATCAAGCATTGTAATCTGCAGGTTCTTGATTACAAGTCTAGACCAAGTTAATTACATGTAATACCGAAATGATTATACTTAGGGCCTATTATTTATTATTATTATTACTATTATTTAACATTAATTACATTACAAGGATAGTTTGGCCAGGTTCAATAATGCTGCAATGGCATATTTTATTTATTATAATATTTCTCTTATGCACTCTATTTGTTTTTCATGCTTCAATTTTGTTTCCATTTTTCTCCAAACAAATTGTGATCAACGTCTGTATGTGAAGTGTGGCTATTGGTGTCAGCCTAGGACCAGGGAGATGTAAAAATAAGGACCCTAGGCCTATAGTTTCAGGAAGTGCCTAGGTAGGACTTAAAACTCAGCCTGTATTTAGGCCTACAGTTTATCCTCTATCTCTCTAGCCTTTGATATTACTGCAAGAAAATTTACGATTATGTCACCTCTAGATGACCAGAAATGGCACTCTCAGACTTAAAATTTGAATGTAATTTTCTATATTTCTATAATATTTTAAAACTATAAGGCCGGCCTAGACAAAGGTGGAAAAAAATTCAGAGTGCATATTTCCCTTCTTTATTAGGAAGGCCTAGGAGCAAAATGAAGAGCAACTACGCAAAAACTTGCCAAGTCGTCTTTCATTTCATTTAATGTTACTACTACTAGGCTAGGCCTAGATAAGACCTATAGGCCTGTGGCCTACTCACTACTACAAACTTGATTATATTAATAAACTTCAGGTAGTACTAGTAGTAATAATACTAAATATAGGCCTAGGCGGCTAACCAATTACTTTTGACTTACCGTTTGTTCATTGCCTTGTTTACCGTCTTTCGATTGATGTCCGCCCATTTTAAATAAATTAGTAAATTTTCGCACACATTTAGAAATTCTCTTCATTTATTTTCGGTGTTATAATTGCTTCTGACACTAGGCCCAGCATACTCTAGGTGGCTACAGCGTAGGCCTAGATTGCTATCACCGAATGAAAAATGCATTCTTTCGCCCGTACTTTCTGAATGATGCGTATTTACAACAATCGCAGTGTTTGTTCTCAAGCATTTTTAGCCGCGTAGGTACTATGGATACATAATAGCGCACGGAACAGCCTGGGGCATAATTATGTAGAGAGACGCGGAAGAAAGATTTTACCTAATTTTACTTTTTTTTTTAGGACAAGACAAATATAATTACAAATTTATTTGTAAAATATAATGGTAATTAATTAAAATATAACTAGTGTCAGCCTAGTGTATAAGAGATTGGGGATGAGGTAACCTATCTCACTCACGCCATTCACATGTGGTCAACTGTCTTTTGGGGCGCTAAAACAAGATTTTAAGTCTTCCTTTTCCCACCACCATGCCAAAAATCATCAAATTGACGGCACAGGCTTAGGCCCTATTTGATGATGAGGAAGAGGATGATGATGATGATCAGAATAATAATAATAATAATAATAATAATAATAACAATAATAATTAATAATAATAATAATAATAATAATAACAATAATAAAACTGAAAATGATAATGATTATAATATAGAACATAGTTCATAGTTCCTTTTATTCGTCCCTTCGGACATTCAATAATAATAATAATAATAATAATAATAATAATAATAATAATAATAACAATAATAATAATAATAACAATAACAATAACAATAACAATAACAATAATATTAATAATAATAATAATAATAATAATAATAATAATAATAATAATAATAATAATAATAATAATAATAATAATAATAAACGGGTATATGTAAGCATATACCCGTGCTCCGCACGGTGTTAAATGAGCGGGGAAAGGTAATCACGTACATTGTTGAATGGGGAGGCAATCGTTGTGCCCGTGGATATGGTTACCAGATGTCATTATTTTTCTGAAGGACGTCTTTGTAGTTAATGTTTTGAGTGTCTTTACAGCACACTCTAGTCCTTGTGAGGAATTATTGTGCAGTTTTATTGAGGGTGAATCCTAAATGTTTTAAAAATGGGGGTGGGGGGCGCACAACAGTTTCAGAATAATTGAATAAGCGAATAGCACATATACTGGGCGGTGCCTAGGTAGGACTTAAAAAACTCAGCCTGTATTTAGGCCTACAGTTTATCCTCTATCTCTCTAGCCTTTGATATTACTGCAAGAAAATTTAAGATTATGTCACCTCTAGATGACCAGAAATGGCACTCTCAGACTTAAAATTTGAATGCAATTTTCTATATTTCTATAATATTTTAAAACTATAAGGCCGGCCTAGACAAAGGTGGAAAAAATTTCAGAGTGCATATTTCCCTTCTTTATTAGGAAGGCCTAGGAGCAAAATGAAGAGCAACCACGCAAAAACTTGCCAAGTCGTCTTTCATTTCATTTAATGTTACTACTAGTACTACTAGGCTAGGCCTAGATAAGACCTATAGGCCTGTGGCCTACTCACTACTACAAACTTGATTATATTAATAAACTTGAGGTAGTACTAGTAGTAATAATACTAAATATAGGCCTAGGCGGCTAACCAATTACTTTTGACTTACCGTTTGTTCATTGCCTTGTTTACCGTCTTTCGATTGATGTCCGCCCATTTTAAATAAATTAGTAAATTTTCGTACACATTTAGAAATTCTCTTCATTTATTTTCGGTGTTATAATTGCTTCTGACACTAGGCCCAGCATACTCTAGGTGGCTACAGCGTAGGCCTAGATTGCTATCACCGAATGAAAAATGCCTTCTTTCGCCCGTACTTTCTGAATGATGCGTATTTACAACAATCGCAGCGTTCTCAAGCATTTTTAGCCGCGTAGGTACTATGGATACATAATAGCGCACGGAACAGCGTGGGGCATAATTATGTAGAGAGACGCGGAAGAAAGATTTTACCTAATTTTACTTTTTTTTAGGACAAGACAAATATAATTACAAATTTATTTGTAAAATATAATGGTAATTAATTAAAATATAACTAGTGTCAGACTAGTGTATAAGAGATTGGGGATGAGGTAACCTATCTCACTCACGCCATTCACATGTGGTCAACTGTCTTTTGGGGCGCTAAAACAAGATTCTTCCTTTTCCCACCACCATGCCAAAAATCATCAAATTGACGGCACAGGCTTAGGCCCTATTTTGATGATGAGGAAGAGGATGATGATGATGATCAGAGTATTAATAATAATAATAATAATAATAATAATAATAATAATAATAATAATAATAATAATAATAAATAATAATAATAATAATAATATTAATAATAATAATAATAATAACAATAATAAAACTGAAAATGATAATGATTATAATATAGAACATAGTTCATAGTTCCTTTTATTCGTCCCTTCGGACATTCAATAATAATAATAATAATAATAATAATAATAATAATAA